AAGTCAAAGTATCTCTATTTGCAGATGATATGATCTTATACACAGAAAACCCCAAAGAACCCACAAGAAAACTACTGGAACTCATAGAAGATTTCAGCAAAGTTTCAGGATACAAGATAAACATACAAAAATCAGTTGGAGTCCTTTACACCAACAAAGAGAACCTCAAAGAGGAAATCACCAAATCAATACCATTTACAATAGCCCCCAAGAAGATAAAATACTTAGGAATAAATCTAACCAGAGACGTCAAAGACCTATACAATGAAAAACTACAAGACACTACTGCAAGAAACCAAAAGAGACCTGCATAAGTGGAAAAACATACCTTGTTCATGGATAGGGAGACTCAACATTGTGAAACTGTCAATTCTACCCAAAGCAATCTACAGATACAATGCAATCATGATCCAAATTCCCCTGGCATTTTTTTAACGAGATGGAGAAACAAATCATCAACTTCATATGGAAAGGGAAGAGGCCCCTAATAAATAAAGCATTACTCAAGAAGAAGAACAAGGTGGGAGGCCTCACACTACCTGATTTTAGAACCTATTATACTGTTGTCATGGATTGAATTGTGTCCCCCCAAAATATCTGTCAACTTGGCTGCGTCATGATTTCCAGTATTGTATGATTGTCTACCCTTTTGTAATCTAATGTGATTTCCTTATGTGTTGTAAACTCTATCACTATGATGACGTTATACTGATGAGATTTACAAGATTAGATAGTGTCTTAATCCAATCTCTTTTGAGATATAAAAGAGAGAAAAGAGTAGAGACACACTGGAACCTCATACCACTAAGAAAGCAGTGCCAGGAGCAAAGCACATCCTTTGGACCTGAGGTTCCTGCGCAGAGAAGCTCCCAGACCAAGGAAAGACTGAGGCATCACAAGGACCTTTCTCCAGAGCCGACAGAGAGAGAAAGCCTTCTCCTGGAGCTGATGCCCTGAATTTGGACTTGTAGCCTACTGGACTGTGAGAGAATAAACTTCTCTTTGTTAAACCCATCTACTTGTGGTATTTCTGTTAGAGCACCACTAGATAACTAAGACAACCGTCATGGTAGTCAAAACAGCCTGGTACTGGTACCACAACAGATACACAGACCAATGGAACAGAATTGAGAATCCAGACATAAATTCATCCACCTATGAGCAGCTGATATATGACAAAGGCCCAAAGTCTATTAATTGGGGAAAAGACAGTCTCTTTAACAAATGGTGCTGGCATAACTGGATATCCATCTGCAAAAAACTGAAACAAGACTGATCCCTCACACCATGCAGAAAAACTAACTCAAAATAGATCAAAGACTTAAATATAAAATCAAAAACGATAACGATCATGGAAGAAAAAATAGGGACAATGCTAGAAGCCCTAATACATGGCATAAACACAATACGAACTGTAAGTAACAATGCACAAGCACCAGAAAAGAGACTAGATAACTGGGAGCTCCTAAAAAATCAAACACTTATGCTCCTCAAAAGACTTCACCCAAAAGAGTAAAAAACAACCTAAAGAATGGGAAAAAATTTTTGGCTATGGCAAATCCGATCAGTGGCTAATCTCTAAAATCTACAAGATACTGTAAAACCTCAACAACAAAAAGACAAATAACCCAATTAAAAAATGGGCAAAGGACATGAACAGGCACTTTGCCAAAGACGATATTCAGGCAGCTAACAGAGGCATGAAGAAATGCTCATGATCATTAGCCATTAGAGAAATGCAGATCAAAACTACAATGAGATATCATCTCACCCCAAAAAGGCTAGCATTAATCCAAAACACAAAATAATAAATGCTGGAGAAGTTGTGGAGAGACTGGAACACATTTAAATTGTTGGTGGGAATGTAAAATGGTACAATCACTTTGGAAATTGATTTGGCGCTTCCTTAAAATGCTAGAAACAGAAGTAACATACAATCCAGCTATCCCGCTCCTTGGAATATATCCTAGAGAAATAAGAGCCGTCACACCCACTTTCACTGCAGCGCTGTTCACAATAGCAAAAAGATGGAAACAACCTAAGTGCCCATCAGTGGACGAACGGATAAACAAATTATGATATATCCACACAATGGAATACCATGCAATGATAAAGAACAACGATGAAGCTATGAAACATCTTATAACATGGAGGAAGCTGCAGGTCATTATGCTGAGTGAATTTAGTCAGTCACAGGACAAATATTGTATAAGACCACTATTATAAAAACTCAAGAAAAGGTTTAAACACAGAAGAAAACATTCTTTGATGGTTATGAGGGTGGGGAGAAAGGGTGAGGGTTATTCACTAACTAGATAGTAGATAAGAATTATCTTAGGTGAAGGGAAGGACAGC